TGTTCGTGGTGCCAGACCGCCCCTCCGCAATGGGACCGGGCCCTGATCGGCTCCTGCCCGTCCCAGGGCACAGCGGGGTGGTCGGTTGGAAGGGCAAAATGTGCAGGGTGGAGGAGGAAGCTTCGTCGTGAGTTAAATAAAACTCGTCCTTGCTCCCAATGAAGCTTCTTTCTGCTCTGAATCTGTATTCATAAATGCAGATTTATATATATATGGATACATTCGCATATACATGAATACATATATAAATACATAAATAAACTATACTTATGTAGTTTAGTTAGATATAACTAAAAAAACAGAACAAAGTGGTCAGACTTTTCACTTGTTAATTGTATGATGCCTTTAAAAATACAGCAAATGCAGTAATTTTTATTTTATTCACTTATTTATTTTTGTGCTTTGTCTCTCCAGGATGAGTTTTTAGATGTGATCTACTGGTTCCGGCAGATCATCGCCGTGATTTTGGGCATCATCTGGGGCGTAGTTCCGCTGAAGGGGTTCGTGGGCATAGCAATGTAAGCTCTATTTTCTTTCCTGTTTCATCTATTTTCTCTGCATTTTTTTTCTGATGGTTTTAAAGCTGAGTTACACCAGCGGAGTGTCTGGTGAGCACGTCTTGCCGTGCTTGTCTTGCCATGCTTGTCTTGCCGTGCTGGAGCGTTTGGTGAGCGCGTTGCCTCGTGCAGCCCCGCAGCGCCGCTCCCGGAGGCAGCCCCGCTCCCCTGGCTAGTGCTGGCAAATGCCGTGCAAACTCATGACACTGCTCACTGGAGGTGCTGGTCGCTCTTCTCGCCTCGCTGGGGTTGAGGGCCGGGGGAGGATGTGAGGGAGGCTCTTGTTCCTCACTTCGTTGTTAGGTAATAGGTGCTGACTTGTTCCTTCTGCAGGGGGAGCTCAGTGACAGGCCAGGGTGTGCAAACACGCCAGCAGTAACATTAATAAAACACACAGCAATGGTCCAGCCACCGCAGGGTGGACTGTGAGGTGCAGAATTCCCTCGAAATAGGTAGTGGTGCTCCCTTGGAAACCAATGATGTCCAGCAGTTTCTTCTGTTTGTGCTGCAATCTGGACAAGCTGACCAGCCTTATCCTTGATTGCCATAGTTCCCTGGTTTTGATAAGCAATAGTTCTCATATGTTGAGTGATTGAAGTTTCCAGCTCTCCCATGAAAATATATTATCCATAACCTGGATATAAACGTAATATTCATGTTGGTTTTCAGGGTGCTGCTCAAGTCGTGGGCCAGTGTTTTGCCCGCATGGCTCTGGGGTCGGGTTTGTGGCTCTCTAGTGCTGCCGCTGCCTGGCCTTCTCCTGCAGAACCTATTCCTGACATTCCACAAGATGTGGAAAGAGAAACTCTGTGGATGCAACCTGGTTTTCTCCCAAGTACAGCAGTGCGAGTATCTATGACTGAGTCTAAGCAGTGGGTACACGAGGGTGCATTACTTGGACAAGGACATCATTACTGAGCGTTGGAGGCAGCATCACTCGTGGCGTCTGTGTCACTCCTGTCCCTGAGTGTCAGTCAGGCACAGGCAGACGCGGCTGGGACCCCAAACTGCAGCCCCTGCTCTATCAGCTGCAGTAGTAGGCGGTGGGGTACACTGCTAAACTGCTTCCTGTGGGGCAGTAATAAATGGATTCACTCAACAGACTGCTCCTGCTTCCTACCCCCGAGTGGGAAATTTTGATAAATATGTTTTACATTTCTGGCATAAGAATATAAGGGGACCTAATGCAGCAAGATTTCTGTTATTGGCCTATTTAAGTTGGCATTCACTTATGCCAAAGGCTTGCATGGTAACACAAGCAATGGTTTTGCTGGTATTAGAAGCAAAATTGTGAACATACATCCCCTTTAGGATCTCTTGGAGCTGTTCTCAAGGGCTTAGGCTAATAGTTAAGATAGTAGTGATTGCATCGCTCCCTTTACTCTCCATAGCGTGATGGATTCTTGCTCGTTTGCTCAAGTGTCCTAGCCTAAACACTTTGATGATGTTGAAGTGCCTGGAATGCAGCCCTCCTGTGCCTACTACCCCAGCTCTGAATCCGCTGGAATGGCTCCAGATGTGTGGGTTTCCCACCAGGGCTCCCATCGCCGGTCGTACATGGGTGTTGTCCACTCCGAGCCATTCGAACACCCTTTGCTGATATTAGCACTGTTCCGCCAAATGGCAGGGTGAAATTCCTGAACTGCAGAAGTGGAGCTCGCCAACCTCTCGGGCAGTCCTGGAGCAGCTCTTACTCATAGTGTGGCTGTGACAGAGAAACCAGGGGCGTTCGGCCCCTGCGGGCTGCCCTGTCGTGCCCTTTCCCTTGTCTCTGTGGCCCTTTCCCTCTCCTTGCTGTGCCGCTGTGCTCCATAGGGTGAGTCCCCTCTCCTAGGCTGCCTGCTGAGCTCCCTGCCAGCAGGCTGTGTAGCTGGAAAATCAGCTTGTTTCCTTCTCCTAAATTCTTCTGAGGCAGGAAAGTGGAGGGAGTAGCAGGGAATATCTCTAAGGAAAAAAAAAATGCAGTAGAAAGGGAGATCTAAGCACGTGACTCTCCATGAGTAGCTCTGTGCAAACTGTTCAATCTAAACTGTTCTTATTAATAGGTATATGATGTATATGATAACAATTACTTAGCCATCCATTGAGCTGCCATTGCGCTGCCCTGCAGTTGTAGGTGCCAGGGAAGATGCCTGGGCATCGCTCGGAGCCAGAGCACCCGGTCAGGCTGCACCATCCCCCGGGAATGTGGGGAACCCTGCAGAAACGGTGGGAGAGGGTGTCTCCCCGCGAGGCCGGATTGGTGGATGCCTGCACTCTTGCTGTGGAAGCTACACTTCCTAATCTCTCTCTTTTTCTCTTTTTTTTCCAGATTCTGCCTCATCAATGCTGGTGTTCTGTACCTCTACTTCAGCAGCTTCCAGCAGATAGATGAGGAGGAGTATGGTGGAACGTGGGAGCTGACAAAGGAAGGGTTCATGACATCATTTGCACTCTTTTTGGTAATGCCTCTTGTTCCCTTTGAGCTGCTCTGCAAATTGGTGTGCTTTCTGCACATAGTCAGGGGAGATATTAACATAATCTAATAAATAGGATTGATAGCAAAGAGAAGCCTCAAATCTGATGACTGCTGGCTGTGAAGTAATAGAGGAGGAGGCAGGAACAGGCAGACACCCTTCTGCACCCACCACATAACTCGTCTGCCTTCCTCTCTGTCACAAATACGCTGCTCCCCAGCTCCAGCTGAGCTCCATCCCGAGCTGTTTGTATCCAGACTGAGCTCGTGTTTGAGTTTTGCAAACGCTCCCGGTTGGGTGCGTGAAGCCTCCCTGGCGGTATTGGGATAACCCCAGCCTCCTTTCCTCTCCGCAGGTTGTTTGGATAATCTTCTATACTGCCATCCACTACGATTGACACAGCCCGCAGCCCCTGCCTGTGGAAGCCGTCTTCAGGAAATCAAGAAGGTTTTAATCAATCCTAGTCTCTAGCGACTGGTGGGAAGGCAGGGGAGGTCAAGCCAACTCCCGGCAGTCCCAGGGCTCCGATCAGCCTGGCCAAGCCCGGCTGCTGCCCTCTCGGTTTTACCCACCTGCTGCTCACTGGAGCTTCTAAAAAGCCATTGACGTTCTCAAAAGTGGTTCAAGACTGTTCAACTTGGGACTCTTCCTGTGACTGTAGCCAGTAACTATGTCCAACTTCTGAATGCTGAAGGTTGAATCTGGTAATTTAATGTGTGTATGGCCTCTGTTTGAGATCTGTCATTAAATCCGCACTTGTCTTCCGTCGTTGTCCTTCAAAAAACAGTTTTAAAAAGCAGCTATGAGGCACTTAGGAGGAGGGCCCTGCAGCATCCCGGATGAGTTCAGTGGCTGCCTCCAAAACCTTCTGAAGTGATCAGGTCTGGTTTGATTAAACAGACTGTGTTGTCACCATTTCTAAGATTTCTCTTTTGTTTTACTTGCTTTCTCACCCGAATTTTCAAATGGTCTTTGCTGAAGATGATTTTTAAGTAATTTTGCTGCGAAGAATTATGATTAACTGTTTAATAAATGTTTAACTTGAAAACAGTATTCAGGAGAAGGCCCGCTGCATTCTGTTAGCCTGACCATTAGCTTGGTTGCTGGAGCTCACTCCGGAGTTCAGGAGTCCTGATGGACAGTCGTTCTGGAGGCAGCCTTCCTAAGGTTAAGCATTTAAAATCTAGAATCATTTTTTAAGATGTTGAATGAAATGAGATTCAGATGAACTTTTTTGAGGAAATGCAGGACACTAAGACACAATTGAGGCAGCTAATATCTTAAAGACAGAATTACTAACTTGGAAATCAGGCATACTCAGTGAAGTGCAAGGTCTCAAAAATGGGAGGTTTTCTTTGACTTGATCACTGGATAGCTGTGTGATGCTCTTTTTTGCGCATCAGTTGGAGGATTTCTCCTTTAGAATATTTTTAAAGACATGTCTTTCAGGAGTTGTTGCTGCAAAACACGCACAGTGCCACCCGCTTGTTGTCAGAGGACCTTGTGGTCTACTTGCTGCGTAGGCCTTGCTTTTCTAAGCTCACACACCCAGAAGAGTCCTAATCTACAGTTGCCTTATAGGGAGGTTTTCAGACTTTTAATAGGCCCTTGCTGAAACTCCACGTTGCTTCCAAGTTACTGGAAGCCTCATGTCTGGCTCTGACATGTGGGTGTGCAAAGCTGGGGATCTTAATCACTTAAAGTGCTGAGCTGAGGCTCTGGAATCAGCCACCCCAGTAGCTCTCCAGCCTCATCAAGGCAGATTATCTGTTCAGTGTGAGAAAAACAGTTGCCTCTTAGGTCCTTGGTTTGCTCATGGAAGAGTAATAGCAGCTTCTGCTACGTGTGAGTTGCCAAGTAAATTTTCTCAAACTGAAACTTCTCTATTTGTTCCTCTCCAGCCCCAAATCTGCTCGACTTTTCAATTTGATCTTTTTTTCCTGTTCTGTCAGCTGAAAGCATTAATTTTCCATGAGAATTACAATGTCTGCTCTTTCTAGGTCACCCTTTGCTACTGGCATCACTTTGCCCCTTCACTGTCCCCAGCCATCAGTGAAATCATTGTAGACTTGTAATGCTGTAATAAACATCACCTGGATAACCACTGTGCGGTTCCTGTATCCTCTGTTTTTCTGTATCCTCTGAAATTTTGCAAAATGTTGATGGGGGGGATTCCTTCAAGAGTTTGACTTTTTGTAAATGGCAGCCAGCAGCTCTGTGGGATTCCCTGGTCTCTTGTCATGCTGCAGGTTTTAATCTCGCCCTTTCAGAAGGGGACAGAGAGCATTTTCAGTGGGAACAATAACCAAAGTTTAAGTCCATGCTTTGGTGTTAACCAGGGATGCCAAGCGTTGCATCTCTGGAAGCTGTTCTGCTCTTTCAGCAGACCCACTGCTGCATCGCAGAGCGCAATTTGCACAGTGTTAATAGTGCAAAACGACAGCAAGTTGCTTGCCTGCCTTTGTGCTTTATTCCTGCCTTGCCTCCAGTCCTACCTGTTGAGTTTCTTGGGTTTTTTTCATGGTTTTCTACAGTTGGGCAGACTGGAAGCTGAGGCAGAGCCTGAGTGATTTGTGGTGAGAAGGACTGTGACATGGCAAGGACATCTGGTCCTCTGCGCCTCTCTAGGGCTCCTGGTAGGGAGGTGGTGAGTTCAGCTGCCACTTTTAGCCCCCCAGGCTTTCTGTTTCATGGAGTTTCTCAATGGTTTGAAGCAGGTTTCTCCAGCTCTGGTGCCAAGAGACCTGAAGCTGAGGCAGCTGCCCTCGAGGAACCGAGGCCAAGGGAACGCGGCAGCCTGCAGAGTGGAGCTAAGCACCTCACAGAGGTGAGTGCTGTGAAAACAAGGGGCTTTTGCAGAGAAGAGATTGATGGGGGATTGTCCAGGAGAGAGCATGAAGATGAATGCAAGGAGGGAAAAGAGCAGCAGCTGGCAGGTTTAGGGACTGCAGTGAAGGGAGCAGTAGATTTGTGCGGCATCTCTGTGCTTAGCACTTCTGCTGAATGGACCTGCTTGCTCCGCGCTCTCCGGAACGGCAGGGAACTTGGGCACGGGCTGGTGGGAGTCTCTGCGCTGTGGAGCAGAGAGTCGGGGAGAACAGGGCCTCTCCAGGCTGGGGGAAGGATCTGTGCAGCCAGAGTGGCCCACGGTGCCTGGGCTGTGGGCAAAAAGCAGCAGGTCCCCGGCAGGAGGGAGAGGGGAGGATATTCCCTAGCCCAGTCTCACCGAGGGGAGAGAGGAAAGTGTTCTGGCACGGAATGGGCAGGGAAGGTCTTTGTGCTCTCCTAGTCTCCCTTGGACTTCAAACACAAAGTTAAGGCTTTAACGTGAGTTGTTTCTCCTGTTAAAGGGAAAAGCCAAGGTGCAGATGCAAATACATGCTAGGACTTGGCGAGGGGAAGCTGCATCGCGTGTCTCGGCAACAGCAGGTGTCAGGCAGCCCCGGGGCAGCTCTGCAGTTCTGCGCTGTATGAGCACGCAGCACACTGTGGATTTATCACCTGTGCTTGCAGCTCGGCGAGGGAGTTCTGCTGGTGTCGCTGATCTACAGCAGCACTTGGGATATCCTCAAAGTGGTGCTCGCTGTGGCTGGGAGCTCATCCCTGGGGCCTCAGAGCCTCTGCTCGCTCTGGCATCTCTGGATTTTCCCTACGTGACTTCCAAGCTTGCCAAGGCTGCACTGTCAGCTTGCCGGGATTCATGTGCAGAGAGGTGACAGAGCCGATGGTTATGGTAAAAAAACACAAGAACAGCTGGAGTCTAGAAAAGTGAAGAAGTGGGAAGCAGAGCCGTGCCTTTGAGCACTGTGAAATCCTGCGTAGATGCCATAGGTGGAAGTGGCGTCTGCTGAGGCCTCGTGGGACAGCGCTGTGTTTGATTATGCTCCTAAGGACCTTTAACATCAAGGATGTCATTTACTGCGACCAAATGAATGGAGCGCAGTGTGCACAGAGCTCCTGGGCTTGAGAGAGACACGGTGGGAGGGGAGGGACCACCTGGAATTCAGGATGCGGGACCGGAGAGACGTGAAAATGGAGCAGGCTGAAACTGGCTGGTAAAAGCCGAATTACCCTCCTGTGAGGACTCAGTTATTGACTGGCGGTGCCCACCGTGCCCTCCGGCTGCTGGAGTGGATGCACAAGACCTTCCCCTGCCAAGCAAAGCTCAGTTTGCATCTCCCGTCATTACAGCACACCCAGTTAGTTAGCAGCGTCTCGCGTAGCCCTAGCTAGAGACAAGCAAGGGGCACTGACTGGCTCGCTGCAGGATGAGAAAACAGGATGTGTGCGTCACCTCTTCAGAGCCAAAGAGCCCAGCACCCAACATGCTGCTTCCAAAAGCCACGGTTGTCCGGGATACATAGGGCAAAGAATGAATTTTGGGATCTGGCAGCCAAATGAACAGGTGGCATGTGCCAAGCTGAAAGGGAAACAGCCCCATTCCAACACTGGTGCAGAGGGGGGAAGTAATTTCTGCAAACCCAAAGCACTTTATTCAATCCAGAATCAAACACTCTCTTGCTCTCAGTTATTTTACCGATATTTTTTGGAAGAAGTCTCAGAGGAAAAAAAACATTTGAGTTGAGACATTTTGGCCATCCTGGCTTCAGAAATGTCAGTGAAAAATATTTAGACAGTGTCCCCCCTTCCCGAAGCTGAAGTCTTTACCAGGGATGATTGCTGATCATGGATTTCATGGAAAACCCAATGTGCAAAGGAGGCTACCTCACGGGTAACACATTGGGGCAAGCCAGGGAGTGAGCAGAGGGGCTGTCTACCAACCACCACCAGCCTTCGGGGCTGTGAAGGAGGGCTCTGTCACCACCACGCTGCTACCAGCAGACCGCTCCTCTGGGCTGTGCGTGGAGAGAGCAGCCCGCCTTGTCCCCAGGCTGTCCCCAAGTGCATAGGTCTGTGGGCTGTCCCACGGAGGGGACAGCAGGATGGACCTCGTGTCCTCCGCTCCTCTGCCCTTCCCGACGCGCCGTTCCCACAACACGCGGCCAGCCCTGAGGTCACTGTCACCCACGCAAGGCTGCGGGGGAGGACGAGCAGCCCCAGGGCAGCGCCCGTGGCAGGGAGCCCTGGGCTGGCTGTCCACACTGCTCCCTGTGTCCCCTCGGCCGGTCCCTGGGGAGCTGGTGCACAAAGGATGCAGGTTTTGCTCCCTCTTCTCTGTCCCCTCCTCCAAATTCAGAGTCCCCTTTTGGTATTTGCCATCCTGTGCTAAAGCTGCCTTGCAGCAGGGTGTCCCCTTGCCCAAAGCAGGGGTCAGGCCAGCCAGAGGACAGGACAGATGTCCCCTGTATGGCCACACTACCCTGCTCCCCTCCTCCTTATCCTGGCCAGGAAACTCTACGGCAGCATGAGGCGATGCCCACAGCCACGGAAAATCTTCTTGGCAGGAGCGAGCAAACTGGCTTGCTTTCCCAGCGCAGGGGATCTCTGGGCAGAGGGACACCCATGGTGGCAGGTGACATTTATTTGTTTTCCTGGAAAAAAAATAAGAGAAAAAGTTAGCCGCCAAAACACAATGTTTTGCAACAGTCGCAGCAGTGCCCACTGCAGCTAAACTTTCCCGGCACCAGAAGGGGATTCGGGGTTGGAAGCAGAGGGCTCAGCAGCGGGGGTGGTTGCTGGCCCAGGCTGGGACACCGGGATGCGCCTGGGAGCTCCCGGTTGTGGAGAGGGGGGTCTTGGGCGCAGAGCGCCGGGACGCGGTGCAGCAGGAGGGCTGTGCGGCGCCGGGAGGGCCGCTCGCCCTGCGCCACAGCCCGCGGCCGCCCCGAG